TACGAGGGTGGTGAGGCACTCGAACAGGTTGCCCAGGCAAGCTGTGGAGGCCCCATCCCTGGAGGTGTTCAAGGCCAGGCTGGATAGGGCTTTGCACAACCTGGTCTAGAGTGGAAGGTGTCCTAGCCCATGGCAGCGGGACTGGAATTAGATGGTCTTTCAGGTCCCTTCCAACACAAGCCATTCTATGATTCTATGATCTCCCCCCATGTCTGTCCATGTATGCAAATATACATGATTCTAGGACTTGATGATTGCGCTTTTAATACCATGCTCGTCCGATGGCTAGCCTTGCTTCTGAGAACTTGGAGTTTGTATGCGCTGAGGACATACGATGAAGCTTCCATCTCAGCCTTGCATTAGTGAGACATGCATCATCAAACCCAGCACGCTGGGTCTTTTGGGAAACACACACATAATTAGCCCCTTTGCACCAAAGACCTCATCGCTGTATTCGCCACATGGTGAGTGTCACCCAGTGGGCCTGCGAACACACACACACACAGGCAGAAACCCTCCCGTCCCCTGGAAGCCTCACTGTATTTGCCATATGGTCAGATTCACCTGCTAGGTCTGGGGGATGGAAACAGACGGGTAACACACACACACATAATGAAGCTCCCCACTGGGCTGCCTTAAAAAAAAATGAGAAAAACATAAAAAAAAATCGCCATAACTTCCACATGAGCAGACTCATGCGCTGAATTTTGGGGCGGGGTGGGGTGGCCACAGAGCTATGAAGGCTGCCTTCAGGTACTGCCCGCGCTCCACCTGAGCTCATCACCCTGAAACCAGGAGCGGGCGGGCTCTGCCCCTATGGGGCGACCCAAACCCTAACCCCCCGCTCTCCCCGGGGCCCCCAGGCTGTAATTGCTCCCCCGTGGAGGCGGCGGGGGTCCGCGCACCTCGGTAACGAGCCCCCCTCAGAGCCCAGCTCCCCCCGGGGGCAGCGGGCAGGCTCTCCCCGGGGCGGGGCGGGGCCGGGCCCTGTCAGCGCCGCAACATGGCGGCCTGCGGGTGGCATGGGGAGGGAAGGAGGGAGGGAAGGAGGGGGGGGGGGGGCGCGGGACTCCCCTGGCGGTGACGTGTGTTGCCATGGCGACGCGCGGGCAGCGTCTCGCGCCGGGTGGGGGGGAGCGGGGGGGATGACAACAAATATGGCGGAGAGGAGCAGGACGGCAGAGACGGGTCAGTGCCGGCCGCAGGCGCCTGGGCGGGGGGAGAGGGGAAGAGAGGAAGAGACAGACCCCCCCCCTCCATCCCTTTCTGCAGGGGGTGAGGGCTGCTGCTGGCAGCAGAGGGGAGGAGAGGGGCTGCCTCGCTCGGAGCCCTGCTCTCCGGGGAGCCGGAGGGGAGCGCCTCCTGGCTGAGGGGGAGAAGGGGTCCGGGGCGGGAGCCCCCTGCCCAGGGAGCTGGGGAAGGAGGGGCAAGGCCCCGTGCCTTGAGGTGAGGGGCACCTTCCAGGGGGTAAATGGTAGTGGGGGGTGACCCTTCAGGCAGGGGAAGGGGGAGAAGCCCCAGGCTCTCAAGCCCTGTCAAAGGGGGGAGCCCTGTCCCAAGGAGAGCCCCCCAGCCAGGCTGGCAACCCCCAGCCAGCCCACACGAAACTGTGGGGGGCAGCCCTGCAAGAGGCTGGTGGGGCAGCCTGCACCACGCACCTGCCTGCCTGCACGGGGCAAAGGTGGTGGTGGTGAAGAGCAGAGCAGAGCGGTGGACAGGGGTTCCCCTCACGTGAGAAACCTCAACCTACTTTGTCCAGAATGGGAAAAAAAAATAGATTTGAGGTTGGAATAAAAACTGCACCATGAGGCTGATGGCTCAGGGGTTGACCCACAGGTGCTGCTTGACCTGTCCCCGGAGCCCTAAAGAGTCTGGAGGCTGCAGAGGGACAGCCTGCTGCATGCCTTGCATCTCACACATGCTATTCTGCCAGGGTCTCTCTAGCGTAGGTGCCAAGTGTTGTTCCTCCTATTCAGGACAGATTAACAATGGCTCTGACTGTGTGTGTATGTTGAGATAAGTTTGTCATGAAACTCAAGTTTTGTGTTTCTTCCTGAGTGGTAAGAATCCTCTAGGTACAGGGGTCTTTCCTATTGTAACAAAACACTGTGAAGGTCTTTTCCACCCCACAAGAAAACAAAACCACCCAAATAATTTATGAAAATTCAAGTTATTAACATTGTGAGGATGAAACCAAGATAATGACAGTTTTTCTGAATATTTAATATCCCACAGCACCATACATAAATTATCTAGCTTCCTGAACCAAAAGCTCATTTTCCTTGCCTGCTGTTAGCTGCTGTGCATGTGCTTTTCTACCTCAGAAGTGGCTCCATGTTTAATGAAGATGCATTATCCGTAGAACTGACTTTGGATTTTAGGACCATTCAAGGTGAAAAAAAGTGATAACTACATGAAATGCTCTTGAACTCTGGAAAAAAAAAAAATACCACGAAGGCTATGTCTGAGTAGATTGGCTTAAGGTTCTTCAACTCCCTGTCTGTTTCAAGCTTGCTGTCTCTGAACCCCCAAAACCACACCAAGAAGTTTATTATACATTAAATTTGTCCACAAGGCAGGTGATCTGTTTCATCTGCTGTGCAACACTGTGCTAAGCACAGCTGATCGGCTCTGACTGCACCACGGAACAGGGAATGCATCTCCAGTGGCCACCATTCGACTTCGTCAACTTTCCTACGGACTTCATCCACCTATGCCTATCTTTGTCAGTAACTTTATATAAAATGTGATAGAACTTACCCACTGTTTCTGTATTAGTACATAAAGTTACATTTATATTGCGTTCACTGCTTTAATCTTTAAATTTGCAGCCTTACAGTATTTGCTTTTTATTTTTAACCTTGACATGAGCTTATTCACATCTGTCCATTTCAGCTAGGTAGTCAGTCACTTTCTCATAAACGCATCAATTCCATGAGATTGCACTGAAATCATGTTTCATTGCGTGTCCTGATACATATCCATTTAAATTTTGCAGTGCCTGTCTAGCCATTTTGCAGCTGTAATCTGTGGGTCCCTCCTGTTCGGAGAAACCAGATGAAGAATTAAAACGTAAAGAGTCAAAAAGATAACACCAAAAGTTTTCAGAGATTCGTGGGGCTTGGGGAAAGCAAGTGAAACAAATTTATGGTTCCCATTTTTAAGAAAGGGCATAGAAGGTAGGGTCTGGAAAAAGTTTCTGGTTTTCCCCCTTAAACTTTGGTTTCTGACGCTGTTTGAAGCACAGAGAATGTAGTAGTAGCTAGGGAATGTTCTTGCTCACGGTGCATCCTGTGTACTTCCTATGTCCTCATGCTTTGTCGGATATGGACTACTCTTGAGGAGATCCAGGAGTCTAGCTCCAGAACCTGCATTTTACACACATCTGATTTTTTCTGTGTTCACGCAGGGAGAGCAAAGCCATTACAGGAGGACTGAACACTGTTCAAACCACATAAGCTGATTTAGCTGGTATGACTATATTATACTTGCTGTTTCAGTTTTGCAAAAACACCATGTTTTTATTCCTGGATTTGTCAGAGAAACACAATTCCAGAATACACAAACAATAGCTAAGTCTTATCTTTCCATTTTGAAATACTGTTATTTCTAATTTTCAAATGAGAAGACTGCATTAAAGAGATATTAAAGGTAATTTACCCATGCTTTATAGCAGCACAGATTACTGGTATGGAAGTGCTATTCTTCTCCTTGTTTGCTTATAAGGTATTTTCAATCTTTCTAAACTCTTAGCTTTGAGAATATGCTATGTCAAGTGCTTCTGTATATTAATTATGCTTTATGGAAAACATATCTTTTTATCATGTAAAAATTTTGCATTTCAGTTTACCTTTCTTACACTGGTCATTATACATACTGTTTCCATATAAAAATGTCTTCTAATGATTTTATTCCTTTTTCATGTAGAAAATTTTTACTTCTGTAGTAGTTTCTACAAATTTTTATTTTTATTAATAGGGAGGGGTGTTAGGACACAGAATTCTACAAAGATAGAATGCTCTCAACTCTTACTGTACTGTTATACTTAGCTTTATTTTCTAGATTATGGTTTAAGCCAATCTGTGTGTTTCAAATGAGATTGAGATTTAATGTGGAAGGTAGATTACTTCACATCTGTCTACTGCGGAGTGCATTATGTGGTATGATGCATGCTGGACTAGGCAGACATCTGGTCTAATCCATTAAAATAGTTCCTCTGTGTTCTGATGTTTGGTTAGAGCACTACAAAACATCTTGTTTTATTCTGGATTAATCAATCATTTCTCCATTGCACTTGGCTTCTTATTCTTACCTGTTTCCTTGGAACGGCTCAAATCCTATTTCTGCAATAGGCCATAAGTTTGTTTGCTTGCTTCCCTAGGTAGGTTCTTCACATTGCAAGCTTGGAATCCAAATTAAAAGCCACTTAACCTTCACTAATGAAGTCTGCAGGAGAATGAAAGGGATTAAGTTAGTTACTTTCAGGTGCTGCTTGGTGTCTATCCCTTCCTCATATTACGCTCAGCTGAACTTGATGTCTCATACCTTTAAAAATGCAGGATATAGCAAGGTGGCCTGCTTAGTTAAGTTTCTTCCAAAAATTTAACATCATTTTTCCAATTCTGTAGCAAAGATGACCTTATTAATTTATCTAAGGAAGGTTTAGGAATAGATCAAAGTGAGCACAGGATACCTGTATTTGATATTTTTTTTTTTGACTCATGAACCACCCTCTATCAAGATGTGACAATAACTGCATAATTGTTTTATCTTTCTGATAAATAGAAAATGAAGATCAGATGAAAGTATTTAACTTTTCAGACATGGATCTAGCTAAACTACATAGATCTTGCCTAACTACTGTGTTTTCCTCAAGTTACTGTTCATCTGTCGGTCTGTGTTGTTACCAGAAGACTTGCCTCTTGGGGTTTGGCTGGCCAGAGGGTGTGGGTTATTCCTGGGCTTTGTAACAGTTGTCGCTCTTGGGGTAGGTGTACGTTAGCCTGGATTGGAAGCTTAATGTATTATCCCGTAGTTGCAAGTCATTTTGTGGGTATTAGTATTTCTGGTGTTTCATCGAGTTGTTGTTGCTGAAGTAATAGCAAAAATAAAAAGAAGACATTTATTCATGGTACTGGATGGGGTATGAATGTGTCTTGAAACCAAAGATCCTTGTTACTGGGACAGATTTCTCAGCTGGGTGGGTAGGTGTTTCATGTTCAGGTACGTGTTGTGATAGTTACCTGACAGAGTCATGTTAACTCACATTTCATATTAGGACTGGTAAGGGTTTTCAAAAGTATTTGCAGTTGGGCTGGCCTGGCTGCAGTGAGGACAGCTTTAAACTACTGTAGAATGCTGAAACATCCCTCAAAGTTTTGGTAGTAATTAAAATTTCTAAAATACTTAGGGTTGAGATCATTGTTTCACCAATCTGTGTGTGGAGAGCCTGACTGATGTGTAAGTTCAGTAGTGCTTTCTAACTGATTTTAATGTGATAATGCTGAGCTAGACTGCTTTGAAAAAGAGCTTTTGATTATTCATTCTAAAAGAATAATTATTCTCTTAAAAATACTTAATCACATATGGTACAAACGCATTCTAGTATCAAGAACATACTGCTTTCTTTTAGGTGGCAGCAGCTGCTAAATAAAGAGCTGAACTGAATTAGACAACCAGTTCCATGGTCTTTTTTTTTAAATTTTTTTATTAAATATAGGCCTTATGGGTAACTAGACTCTCTCATTCACCAGTTTTGTCATGAGGAAATTTAAAATAGGAGAAATCACTTAATTATTTTAACAGTAATACTTGTAATCTCAGTCTTCAAAGTAACACCAAATGTTGCTGGCACTTCTGGTCTCCTAGGCAAATTTAATTTCTTAAATTTAATTATTTCTTAAATTCCTTCTGAATGTTGAAGTGTATATAAACAACATAGCTTATTTCCTAATCTACACAAATACATAGCTTTGCACTTTACTAGCCTGTACGCATAGCTGAATTCCAGTGTTGGGGAAAAGTGGAACCTTGGTGCTGAAAGGGATCTGTCTCCTGTATCCTCCTATCGGCAGGAAAAGATTTCAAGTCAGTGGAAATTGTAAGGGTAGTGGGCCCAGACTTGCAGATGTTCCCACACCATAAAGAGCTATTTGCAGTTGTTTATGAAATGCTGCAGGATGTATTTGTAAACAAATTCAGAATGTGTTTTGTTCAGCAAACTCATTTGCCAGAGCTTACTGACAGCATGGGCATGTTTTAACTTAAGCAGTTCAAAGTCAAGGGGATATTAGAGAGGTTTATTAGTAAATTTGAAGCACTCTAAGACCATTAACTACTTCAGCTTTTAGTGCTTAAGTTGGAGTATTTATTGAAGTAACTCACAAAAATTAATTATAGTTAACACAGAAAAATAATATAGTAATCATTGTACTATGTTGCTGATAGACTGATATTCAACTTATTTCCAACTTTTTCAATTATCTAGTAGAAACAATTCCAACTCCCCACTAGAAGAATTTGCTGAAGAGCTGCTAGTGTATTTTTGGTGCTGATAGCTTTGATCATGTTTCTATTGCATAATTCGCCAAATAAGGAGACCTAAAAAATATTAATGAAGGCTTTATTCAGCCAGAAGATATAATTTAAGAAAAAGAAAGAGAAACAGCAATACGTTGAGTATTCCGGTTGCCACCTCTTAATGGTTTACCATTTCCTAGCCATGTTTCAAACAATTTTTCTCTGACAAATAATCAAAGCTTTTGAAAGTTACTTACCTCAAGCCTCCCAACATTTTTTCTTTCCAGTGAAGTTCAAAGCACCCTATTAATTATTAGCGCTTGTGAGAGAAGGTTTCTGAATTTATAAAAAGTAAAATGAGACATATTGAGAATTTTAATAGGTTTTATACTGAAATTTGTAGAACAAGTTTCTGCAAGTTTCTTTAGTGTTTCTGTCACTGTGTTTTCTAGGCAGAAGTCTCATGCAAAAAAAAAAATCAGATCAGACTCACAATGCATTTATATGGCCTACATTGCATTTCTGTCTTTTGAAGTTGAACTTTATAGATACAAAGCTCATTAAAATAGGTTTTAAATTCAACTTCTTGTGTTAAAAGGTAGCTGGCTAGGTCTCCACATGGGACTACTGACAGGACTGGGAAACGTAGATCTGCAGCTCAAACCCAATTATCAAATGGGATATCTAATAGCAATAGCTGTTACCTCTCTCAGAAGAGCTGGACAACCTGTCTACACTCAGGCTGTTTTCACACAGAATTTCTAGGTTGGAAGAGACCTCAAGATCATCGAGTCCAACCTCTGACCTAACACTAACAGTCCTCCACTAAACCATATCCCTAAGCTCTACATCTAAACGTCTTTTAAAGACTTCCAGGGATGGTGACTCCACCACTTCCCTGGGCAGCCCGTTCCAATGTCTAACAACCCTTTCGGTAAAGAAGTTCTTCCTAACATCCAACCTAAAACTCCCCTGGTGCAACTTTAGCCCATTCCCCCTCATCCTGTCACCAGGCATGTGGGAGAACAGGCCAACTCCAAACTCGCTACAGCCTCCCTTAAGGTACCTGTAGGGAGCAATAAGGTTTCCTTCTTGCTGCTCTTCTTTCCTCCACCAATATCTGCTTAGGAACAATAGCTATAAGGTGAAATGATGATGTAGTTATCTTCACTTAAAAAACAAACAACAAAAAAAACCTAGGATACCTCAGTAACAGAGAACACCAAACTGTGTAAATGAGGTGCTACAGGATGTGGAGTGGAATTTGGCTCAGGTGCTTTTTGCTGTCACTCAGATCCAGCTGCTGCCCAGCAGCATTGCTGCAGGGTTTGGGCTGGCTCCAGCACACCCCCCTGGGTGTTTGGACCATGCTACATCATTCTTGTTTATTGTGGATTAACTGTGCTGCCCTTTTCCAGAACTGCGTGATTCTATAGAAACCAGCTCAGATTTCTCGAGTAATCCCCCAAAGTAGTTGGCATGCAGAGCCATGACACAGCATTGCTATGTTTAGATTGCATTGTACCTGAGATAAGTCTTTCCAGGCTCAAGCTGTGTCTGCAATTAATCTACAGTAGAGGTAAAACCAAATTACAAGCAAGTGAGAGTTGGCTATAGGTACACGTTTTTGTGTTCATATTCCAGTTTCCTTGTTACAGTGTCTCTGAAACTCCTCATTTTCTTGACATTAACACAGAGGCCAAGTTTGTCATTTAAGAGCTTGGAGTGCTCTTGAATTGTGGAGTGCTCTACTTTTTTTTTTTAACCTTAGACTTTTAAATATATTTTTAAAGCATTAGTACTATTTGTAAGTCATAGTTTGTAAAACTCTACCAAATAATAATCATGATTCTGATTTAATTTTGTGAATTGTGCAAATTGAAAGATGTGGACTTCATATTAATTCTAGGGCCCTGATCCTGCAAGTGCCTGTAGATGTGAGATTGTGGATTTTTTTTCTTAATGTTGCTGCTTTCACGAGTAAATCTATTCATGTATGTATGTGTATAGTAAAGTGTTTTCATGATTGATTCTGGTTTAGGATAAGTAATGTATTAAGGTTAAAGATAAAATTTATACAGTGTGATACATATGGTTTCTCGTATACATATCTGCCTCTGTTTTTGCAGTATGGTTAACTGGCCTGATTCATAGAACTGTAGTGGCAAAAATCAACCATAAAAAAGGTTGTGGGAGGAGAAAATAAAAAAATATATATTTTAAGTATTATTATTATTACATAAATTTGCTATCTGACTTTATTTCACTTGCTAATTTGCATAGCTATTTACTTAGCAGTTGCTCTCCCAGTTGCAAGTGAAAACGGGCAAGATTTCGCTTTTACATATTGTTCCATAATCACCTTGAAAATGTGTTGAATTTCAATCTCTACAAAAACAAGAGGAACGTCAGTTCCTGTGAAACACCAGAGCAGAACGGCAGGAATCCATTCCAAGGAAAGCCCAACAGGAATCATTACAGGTTTGCTGATGTGTTTTTGTTTGCAATAAGCAGTGAAGTTACTGTAGGATCACAGCACACTTTAGAGCTGGATAACACCTATCAAATGGCTATCATGTTTTCGTGCATGTAACCTGCACATGGGGTAGCATATACTCGATTTATGAAATATTCCTCAAATAACATATACAAATCCCGAGGCAGTTCTGTTTTGGTGGTGGTAATTCTCCATGTAAAACAGGACTGTGAGGTAAACTTGCCTCTGTACTACTTACTTGTATCTGCAGTCTCTACTACTGCTGAATCACAGATGTTTTGTAACTACGCAGAATAGTGGTATATCTGCTGGTTATTTTATTTCTAAGCAGAACAAATAATCAGTAATTTGATCTCAGTTTTCTGTGTGTAAGTCTTCTAGTAGGTAGAGCTTTGGTTTGTGTTCTGAATACTTGAAGTAATTTGTATGCATTTCACATTCCTATAAATATTGTATCAACGTAGCATTTGCTTAGTTAAAAAAAAATGCTGAATATGGTGTATTGGTTAGTAGTGTTCTCTATAGTTAAATTCCTGTTACTCTTGCATCAGCAATGTAGTTAGTGGATCAAATGTGCTTTGCTGACATTTTTATATCAGGAAACAGGAATTCTGAAACAATATTTAAACCTTTTGCTCTACTGTACTTTGTGAATAAAATAAAGCACCACAATGATCTAATGTTTGATATGAAATTCTAGATTATGCTGAAGTGTTTATTATCTAGAGTAATTTCAGCTGTGTGAGTAAGCAATGCTTGGGTGGAAGAAATCCACAGTGGTTTAAACTTGTAGTTTGGAATGGACTGTTTCAGAAAGTAGAGGCAAAGACGCTATTTGCAACTAAGAATTTACAGGAGTTGTTTCAATGATTAATTACGATTATGAAAGTAACAGTGTAATTAATTTCAACAACAGGGTAAAAATATTCCAAAAGTAATATTAAAATCCTTATATTATTTTAGATGTATTCTAGTAGATAAGATTTTTAAGTAAATAAAGTAAATAAGTAAATAACATCTTCCTTGATGTGTCTGAGACTATTGTTGACTTGACTGACAGAAGACATGCCTATCGCTAAATGAAAAATGAACAGGAAGCGAGGATAAAACTGTATTTCTAAGTTACACCCATTCAAGAGTCAAGGAAAAATAAGTGTGACCCTAAGAAGGATGCATGAATTAAGGTGCATCATACATGGGATAGAAA